AATTCCCTGTTCATTTATTTAAAAACTAAATCGTAGATTAAACCAATTATAGGACTGAGTGGACTTCTGAGTGAATGAACATGCAGAATTAATATGGGCCAAAATACCAGATTCGTCCGAAAAACTGAATCCTTGTCCCAAATTTCAATAGAACGGGAGGTAGCCATAGGGAAGCGAAAGATGAGAAGCAAACAGAGAGCAAGGGACCTTAAAGTACAACAAGTGACTGTGTGAGAATCTGGTATCATTAAAAGCTAATGAGCCTGGCCTCAAAATGAAATGCAAGAACTTAATTACTAAGGGGAAAGATGACCAGCAATGGCGTTTCATCAGCAGTAACCAGAGGCACAACTTATTAACTCAGCCCTGTAAAGGACTGAATATGGTGGGTTGTGTACATTGCAATGATATTCGCAGCCACGCAGCGTCTCTCTCCCCCCCTCCTCATGAGTTTGCAGTTGCAGCACTCCACATAAATATAAATACAGTTTGAACCGCGCTTAACTTCTACTTTTAATACCCTTGGTGTGTCAGCTGCCGAAAAGGAGCTTTAAGAGAAAACGAAATAATAAAACACTTTCAATTAACTGTGAGTGGTGTAGCTAAAACACAACTGAAGTGTGTGCATTCAGAGGTGTTAAGTGCTGTAGGAAATGGCTCTTTTTAACTGGCGCTCTTTGAGTGGGTGGGAAGCCTTCAGTGTGGCTGAAAATGCATTGAATGTTGCATGAGATGAGAAATATTGTTAAGAAGGTGTTTGTGCTTTGAGCCCCTTTCTTTCCATCTTGCTGAGTAGACCGGTGGCTGAGGAAACGTCCCTGAATGGTCCAGACTGAACTTTCCGGAACCCCGACTCCTCTCTTTCTAATACTTCCATTTTGCTTTTAAGAGCTCTTAGTGCTTCGAAGTATATATTTCCTCTCTCTCTCTCTCTTTTATAAAAAATCTTTCTCCCACAGTTCTTTCACTTATTTTATGCTACACAGAGGAAGATATAGGTTAGACATTAAGAGCTGCCAAACGGTAAAAGCAGAAGAGGAGGTTAAGGGGTGATATGATAGCCATGTTCAAATATATAAAAGGATGTCATATAGAGGAGGGAGAAAGGTTGTTTTCTGCTGCTCCAGAGAAGTGGACATGGAGCAATGGATCCAAACTACAAGAAAGAAGATTCCACCTAAACATTAGGAAGAACTTCCTGACAGTAAGAGCTGTTCGACAGTGGAATTTGCTGCCAAGGAGTGTGGTGGAGTCTCCTTCTTTGGAGGTCTTTAAGCAGAGGCTTGACAACCATATGTCAGGAGTGCTCTGATGGTGTTTCCTGCTTGGCAGGGGGTTGGACTCGGTGGCCCTTGTGGTCTCTTCCAACTCTATGATTCTATTCTATTCTATTCTATTCTATTCTATTCTATTCTGTATGATGTGAACCACAGCTAGTACCTACCTATAGTTTGGCACGATACCTACATTGACAAATCATAGTTACAGTGCTTGTTTTCATTGCTTCTAAATGATGAGTTGGACAAACCATGGCTTGGCATGGCGTCTGATCCATTGAGAGATTTGGGAATTTGGTATTAGAGACTGGCAGCTAAAAGTACTCGCCCAGTTCCAAGCTTGTTTTTCTTTGTTAGGAGAGTTCAGGAACCTCGGATTCCGCTTTGTGCGACAAGTTTGCAGCTTTGACCTTCTCCCCTGTGCTCAGCGCTAAGCTGCCTCCTGGAACGCTTGACAAATTCTGGCATGGTTTTATAAACAAAACGGCAATGTTGGGGAGCCATTCTCTTTCCGTTTTTCTGCTCTTAATTACGTTGAGTGGACTTGATGCTAATACCACCGGACACGTTCCTGGAGGATGTGCCGTGCACTTTTGTGGGGTGGGGTGGGTACATGTGCCCCCTTAATCGAGAGAGTGGGGAACAGCGAATCTGAGAACTGCAGAAAGCCCAAAGGGAAAATTTGGATCGTGATTAAATATGAAATGTTTATGTTGGGGAGGAGAGAGAAAGGATACAGGAAGCCGTTTTGGCTTTCCTCTTTGCTTTCAGGAGGCGATGGCTAATCATATAAACATGCCCTGTTCTATATACCATGCCAGTGCACTGCTCTGTTATTACTGTTTTTTTAAAAAATGGAGCCACCACATTCCTTGGATTTTAGGTGCTCCCTTCTCTGCGGAGTTGATTCTTCCACTGTTTTGACTTTTCGTGATGCACATAGACAAGCAAACAGTGCATTCTAGCATCAAGCAAATCCCATAGATGTTTCTGCCTCGCTTTTCCAACCTACCCAATGCAGCCCTTGGCCTGATTAGGAGAACGCTGGCGTTGCATCAAGGCATAAGATCTGCTCTGTTCTCTTTCACTCTTCCTGCGTATAGTGGAAAGAGAAACAAAAGGAGAAAAAGTTCCTCTGCCATTGGATGCCGGCCTCCTTTGCGGATTGGTTTTGTACATTCAGAGAAAGCTTCACCTCAAAGAAATGAGTTTGAGTTTGATTTGGATTGAGCCCCAATTCTTTCCCCTGTGGAATTATATCTCTACCCAACTTTTCAGCTCTTCAACCAGGTCGATGCAACATGGTCCCAGTCTGAGCTGGCAGGTGTGGGAACTTTTCCTTCTCAGACATTCCTAGGTTGTCTAAAAATGTCTGCCCCCTCAGCTGAGTTCTAAAACTGGAAGCAATTTCAAATGAGGTGAAAGATGCCCACAGGTCGAGGTTGAGGCCTTTGCACAAGATAATCAGTGGGTGTGGAAGCACCCCTGTCCAACTTGCACAGATTTTCAATTCCATGCCCTACATCCATGTTTATCTCAGAAAACATTGAGGGTTTGGGAACACGTATTTGCCAAGATAAAAATGTTCTGCTCTCAAACCCAGCCTCTGAAAAAAATCAAGACAAAACGGCCTCTCTTATTGAACCTCTGAAGGGTACTTAGCTCGGATTTCCACGTATTTCTAGGGCAAGGGATCTGTGGAGCTGGGAACAGTCACTGATAATACCTGCATGTGCTTGGCCAATGGATTTGGCCAATGGATGCCTATACTCAAGAATCCACAGTCACCAGCTCTCCAAAGTTGTGGGTGGGATATGGATGGAGAACCTGTAGCCTTCCAGGTGTTGCTAGACTCCAACACCCAACCACCCCAGCCAGCCATGTCCAGTGGCATGGGATGATGGGAGTTGTAACCAAGCAACCTCTGGAGGACCAGGGGCTCTCCATCCCTACTAGGCCCAAGCCATTGTGATCTTCATAAGTCCAAAGCAGTGCAGAAGTCAGTGCTGATGTTGGAGCCCTGGGGGTCGAACCAAGAGGAGCAGTGAACTTGGGCATAGTCTTTGTATTTCCTCGGCAGAGAAGCAACCCCCCCACAAAAAGATGACTTTTCTCGTTGCTCACCACAGCCATGCACCTGTTTGGCCTAAACTGGCACCTGCAGCCGATGGAAGGGCAGATGTTTGAGATGACGGAAGACACGGCCAGCAGTTGGCCAGTGCCAACGGACGTCTCCTTATATTCCTCAGGGGGCACGGGGTTAGAGGTACCTGACAGGAAAGGCAAAGGAGCCGGCGAAGGTACGGTTGGTGTGTTGTCCTTGTTGTCAGTCCTCTGTCTGCCTCTGAATTCCAGACATCCATCCTCATAACTCCATAACCTCCTCCTCCTAGAATCAGTAGTTGCCCATCTATGTTTCCATCTGTCCCTCGCTCAGGATTGCCTACAAGTCCTGAAGTGTGCATTGCCGCATGGCGATTGATCCAGAGCCATTCATAAAGGGAATTGGGAAGAATCCATATGCATTGTGGGGGCACAACATTTCTTCACCAAAATCTTCCTGTCTTCCATTTCCTCTCACCAGAAATGTTTTGCTGATCTCAAATGTTGTTTCAACGCTCCTTCTTTTCACAGGGCTACTGAATGCTGATAAAAACCTTGGTTTTATTCAGCTTGTTGGCAAACTTGGCACGGGGTTGATGCCGCAGGGTGCCGTGCCTTAAAATGAATTAAGAATCGCTGGAACCACAGGCATCAATTGGCAGTCCTCAAACCACTTATTGAATAAGCCCATTTGGAAGTCAGTAGGGTAATTAGTGAACCGCCCTGAGATCCAGGGATGAAGGGCAGTGTACAAATTTAATTAATAGTAATAGCTAGAATCAAATTTGCAACATTTCTCAACTTTGACTGGAGTAACACCAGCCCTATCAAAATGGAGATGATGATGAAATTTGGGTGTCCCTATTCTTCAGTCGTGTGACCCAAAGCCAAGATATCCTGCTGGATCCCTACATATTCACTTAAATTTAATATTCAGAATTAAACGTTAGAATGTCAGGAATCAAAATTTGATATTAGCACTTCAGCTGGTAATTTTGGATACTAAAAAAAATAACCCAGTTCACAATATCTACACCGTTTCTCCCACCTGGCTTTTCTCAAAACAAAAATCCACAAGTTACAAAATTCAGATTCCCTTCTCCTTCAGTCAGTGAACCTATCCCCAGCATAGTTAACTTTATCATTGCAGTTTATAACCCTTGTCCTAAATATTTTATTGAGAAGCAAAAATGTGTGATTATTTACTTCTAAGTGAGTATGCTTAGGGATGCTAGTTTAATATCTGGAAATTGTCCATTTCGCTTCTCAGTTGTCCTATAGAGGGTCCATGTCTTGTACGTAGCTTTCTGGCTTCTTGCAAGACGCCAAGAGGAATTAGTACTTACTGAAATTAGTAAGGTGCAGCTGTTCAGGCCTATGCAAGACCAGCCTTTACTCTGGGGGGGGGGAGCATTTGACAGCTTGACAACCTATGAGATAACATCTAATAAGGAATCCATAGCAGAAATACCTGCAAAAGGTGAACTTCTGACTCTTTCTAAAGAGCAATCATTAACCACTTCAGTAGTGAGTCAGAATTTGGCTCCAGGTATGGAATGGGCAGGTTTTTCATCCTTTCAAAAAATGAAAGGTGCCATGCTGAGTGAACCAATGTGTCCCAAGCCAAATTTGAGTTAATTCAAACTTTCCCACTTGTGATTCATCTTCCAAGCCCCAAGTCGCCTTTCTTTTTCACCCATGGACATTGCCCTTTCCAAGATCTGCTCTTGGTAATCACTGACATTCTAAATCCAGTCTACCAAGTTTTTGGATGTTCTTAATGATGTGGTGTATGGGAAGTGGGTGGCGCTGTGGGTTAAACCACAGAGCCTAGGACTTGCTCATCAGAAGGTCAGCGGTTCGAATCCCCACAACGGGGTGAGCTCCCGTTGCTCGTTCCCTGCTCCTGCCAACTTAGCAGTTCGAAAGCACATCAAAGTGCAAGTAGATAAATAGGTACCGCTCCAGCGGGAAGGTAAACTGTGTTTCCGTGCGCTGCTCTGGTTTGCCAGAAGCTGCTTAGTCATGCTGGCCACATGACCCGGAAGCCATACGCCTGCTCCCTCAGCCAGTAAAGCGAGATGAGCGCCGCAACCCCAGAGTCGGTCATGACTGGACCTAATGGTCAGGGGTCCCTTTACCTTTACTAATGGTGTGGTGTACAATATATATATATATTTGTGTTAACACAAGATTAAAAGGTTAGAGACCAGCCAGGCTGGCTTTCCTGACCATTTTAAACTTGGGTAGCACTGCTGTAAGGTATTCTGTGAAATTATATTATAATTGGTTGAAGTGTCTTCTGGAATTCATCATCCCGGTAGAAATGGAAACCTGGAATGATGTGCTCCCCAAACTGAGACAGGAGCATTTCATGGTCAATTATTGGGGGGGGGGAGCCATGGAAAAGTCCAGAGAATTAGCGCAGTTACACTTCCCCTGTCCAAACATTAGAAGGACAATGGCCTGGTCCATACGTCACGCTAAGGTAAACTATGGTCTAGCAGAACTGCACCAATGTGGAGTAGAGCTCACAGTTGCGTTCTTTTCTCTGTGGTTCAATTTGATGCCGTGCTGAACGAAGCCAAGCTTTGGCATAGCGTGCTGGTCTGTGCCCAAGTTTGCAATGAACCACAAGTTTCCAAACTTAACCACAAGCTACAGCTTGTTTTCATGGTCCTGGTGGCTAAAACCACAGCTTGCCTTGGCAAACCAGGCCAAAGGCTGCTCCATTGCCAAAAGAGAAACCAGATTGGAAAGTATCCAGACAACTGGTACCGTTGAAGAGTTGCATAGCCGCCGCTCGCTCTGGCATCTTGCCCTCAAAGGGAAGACTTGTGACTACCCAGAGAGAGTTTCTTAGGGAGTTATCACTTGCCCGCCTCCATCAGAGCAGCTGAGACCACCCCTTCTTGTATTGATTGCTTCCTCTGTCCAGCAATCCTCTATCTTCTGCTAGATGCCAAATAAACCATGGGGTGCAAGCAATCGATAGGAAGAACCCTGCATCCACCCTATCCTGGAGCCTCAAAAACTCAGCCAACAAAATTAGACTAGAGGAGAGAGAGAGAGAGAGAGAGAGAGAGAGAGAGAGACCGTGGGACTCTTAATCTCAGTGTTGTGTGTTTGAGCCTCATGTTGGGCAAAAGATTCCTGCATTGCAGGCGGTTAGGCTAGATGACCCTCGCGGTCCCTTCCAGCTCTACAATCCTGTTTCTATGGTGCTCAAGTTGAGGCGGGTGCACGTGCTCTGAATTAATATTATGGGTATGATTTGATTAAGGAGGCACATGCAGAACAGAGACTCAAGACACACAGGGAACAAACTCCTCTGTGGATGAATGCTTTTGTATTCTGAAATAATTGAAATAGAAGAAGAAGAAGAGTTTGGATTTGATATCCCGCTTTATCACTACCCTAAGGAGTCTCAAAGCGGCTAACATTCTCCTTTCCCTTCCTCCCCCACAACACTCTGTGAGGTGAGTGGGGCTGAGAGACTTCAAATAAGTGTGACTAGCCCAGTTTAAAGCCGAATTTTCAAAGGAAGAAAGGTCAGCGCTCTCCGGCATCAGCTGTGCAGCTTCACTCCGCAGAAGTAGCAATTGCCTCTCAGCACCGCGTCACACACCCCGTCCTGTTCCGGGGCTTTTTTTGGAGCCCTTTCACAAAACGGGGGGAGCACAATGGTGCCCGCCGAGTCCCACGGTCGCAGGCTTCACCCGCCTGCGGTTTTTGAAAGGGTCCCTGCTTCGCTGTAGCGAGCAGACCCGATTTCTGCGGAGCTTCCCCTTCTTACTCAGAAGGAGTCCGTCATTTCCGATGGCGCCGCCTCCAGAAGTCCACACTGGCTCTCCTTTTGGCGGAGCCAAGAGTGGAATGTTCCCCTAGTTTTACCTCAGGTGGGTGGGAAGTCCAGGTGACTTGCCCGTTGCCCCCATCCTCAGTCAAGCCACGACTACAAATCTGAAAATCACCCCAATGGCTGCATTTCCACACGTACGGCAACGCCACGCACTTGTTTTAAATGAAGTCGCATCCTGCCTGATGTGTCCACAGGGGGAGTTTATGTTGACTTGATAACAGATGGAATCACTTAACGTTTTAAGTAGACTTTTACTGTCTAGAATAGTAAAAAAAAAAAAAAACTTTTATTTTATGGCTGCAAGAATGTGCTACCAATCATGATCTTGCCGCTAAACATGCATTGTCAGGGAATTTGGCTTTGTAAAAAGGTGGTGGATGGAGGAGGTATTTTAATTCCTTTTTCCCAGAACGATGCTTACTCTCCCCACCCCACCCCAAAAAGGAAAGAAGACAAAGATCCCCGCAAACGTGGCATGAGTTCGGATGATTAGTTTAGCTTATCTTCCTGAGAGCTCCATTTATTTTATTTTATTTTCCTGTTTAGCGTAGTGCTCTGTGCAAGTGGCCTCTTGAATTTCTACTGCCCCTGTTTGCCGAGAAAGAAATCGAGTGGGTCATTTCACCAGGGGTTTTTTTGAGGGGGGGGGAGGATCTGCAAAGTGGCCTTTTTCCTAAAAGGGCGAGGAGGAGAAAAACCTCACCGTTTTTAATCGAAAAAGAAAATTGAATCGGCGAGCTCACTGGAAGTGTCTGGTGAAGAATGGGGTGTAACTGGGCAGACTGGGATGTTTCAAAGTGCCTCTGGTTAGCTGGAAGGAGAGCCTAGCTGAGAGGGAAAGAAAGAGGGAGGGGAGTGGGCAGTTTTGCCTCCCGTTTCCCCCAAGAGAAATGTGCAGAAGACAACATGGCTTATGACAGCCCTGCCCTTATTCAGGCTGAATAGTGCAGAACAGGCTCTGAGTGGTTTACAACAACCCGGCAGTGCTGTCCAGAGAGGATTAGGCTCCTACTACAGGTTAAAGGTTTTGCTGAAGCTGAGGTTGTAGTCACATTTGGCTTGCAAAAAAAAAAAGTCCTGCACAATAATACACCATTATTATTATTATTATTATTATTATTATTTATTTATTTATTTATTTATTTATTATAGCCCGCCCATCTGGCTGGGTTTCCCCAGCCACTCTGGGCAGCTTTCAACAAAATATTAAACTACAATAGTCCGTCAAACATTAAAAGCGAGGTGGCAGTTTCCCCGACATTGCAGGGGATGGAAGAGAATCAAAGGCAAATTGGTTAGCTCTATGATCTCAGGTAAAGTGCTGCTGCCCAGGGGCAGAGGAATAATAATATAATAATAATTTATTATTTATACCCCGCCCATCTGGCTAGGCTTCCCCAGCCACTCTGGGCGGCTTCCAACAAAATATTAAAATACTGTAATTAAAAGCTTCCCTAAACAGGGCTGCCTCCCTATGTCTTCTAAAAGTCTGGTAGTTGTTGTTCTCTTTGACATCTGGTGGGAGGGCGTTCCACAGGGCGGGCGCCACCACTGAGAAGGCCCTCTGTCTGGTTCCCTGTAACTTGGCTTCTCGCAGCAAGGGAACCGCCAGAAGGCCCTCAGAGCTGGACCTCAGTGTCTGGGCAGAATGATGGGGGTGGAGACGCTCCTTCAGGTATACTGGGCTGAGGCCATTTAGGGTTTTAAAGGTCAGCACCGACACTTTGAATTGTGCCCGGAAACGTACTGGGAGCCAATGTAGGTCTTACTTTTATACCCCTGTTTCAGGTGGGGCCGGCAGGGAATAGCATGTATAGTCAGATGTTAACATTTGCAGGTCAGAGGATGGGCTGAGTTCGATTTGGATTCTTAGTCAAAATTTCTCCGTACCACACAAGTCTCAGCAGACATTAATATGCATAATTTCCCCTGCCCTTCGGACCTCCTCACAGGCCAATTCCAGCCCTCAGTTGCTTGCAGAAGCTTTCTGCTCCATTGACCTGCATACAAACCAGCTTTTAGGTGCTCAGAGACAAAAAAATAAGTAAACAAATTACACACAAATTAAAGACCCAAGTTACTATTGGGTGCTTTACACAGACATACACAACCCAACGTTAATAGACATTTCAGGTCAGCTTTTCATTTTTTATTTACTCCCCCCCCCGCCCCCAAATTCAGGATATGTGGAACCTTCTGAGAAAGGGCTGTGCAGGCAGAAGAATGAGTTTGGCCATCTGGCATGCACGATCTGGTTGGAATTCCTGTGTTGCAGATGAGCCTCTCATCCCTTCCAGCTCTGCAATTCTATGGACTGTGCCACTTCAGACTGCAGATGGGGGGGGGGGATCACGATTTCAAACACTGTCCGCAAATAATAAACTTTCCACAAGCAGAAAACCAGCCCAGCAGGCAGAGGACCGCAGTATTCAGGGGTCTTCCACAGAAATTCCACAAGTCTTACCCAAATCCCCTTCCTTTGAATGTTCTCAGATGTTTCCTTCAAGCAGGAATCTCCAGGGTTGATGATGACCCTGACCCCACATCTGCCCCATTGCACTTACTTGCAATGTGCAAACACACACACACCCCACAACTCAGGGCAAACAACCCCTCTGGCTTTGTGGCTTTTGATAATAAAATATGGGGGGGAAATAACAATGCAGGCAGGATCACGTTCATTCCCAGAAGCCATCTCCATAGGCTGCCGTGGAGGCGATGATGGGCGGCAGCATTATAATCCAATATTTTCTTTTCTTTTCCTGTATCTCAGCAGGGAAGCCCAGTAGTTTCTTTCCAGAAGACAGTTTTATAGACACTGGGGAGATTGATGTTGGCAGGCGAGCCATGCAGAAGATCGCTCCCGGTATCTTCTGGAGATCTCAGGTGTTCATTGACCACCCGGTACATCTGAAGTTCAACGTTTCATTAGGGAAATCTGCTCTGGTTGGGATTTATGGCAGGAAAGGCCTTCCGCCGTCACACACACAGGTAAGAAGAATGTTGTCACCTGAGGGTATACGTTGAGCTCAGGTAATATAGGCAGCTCAGAGCCCTCTAACCTAGCAGGATGGGAGGTCATAGTATTAATACTACTAGTATTACTCTTAATAATACTACATATTATTAATACTACTAGTACTACTAGTAATGCTATTACTGCAATTAAATTGGAATAAATTGGGTGTTTTAAAATTTATCTGCTCTCATGTTGTTTTTAGTAGAAAAAAGACAGTCATGGAACCTAGAAATTACACAAAACAAATGAAATACCCTGAAACGAGAAGTAATCGACTAGAAATATTATCTTATAGAAATAAACTAAATAATAAAAATCAAAAAGTTTAAGGAAAAAATGAGGAAAAACCTAGAATTGTACAAAGTCTTAAAGGGATGCCAGCTACAAACCTCGTTTCACTGAACTATTCAGTTTCCTCAGAAGGAAACAGAAAAATCATAAACCTCAAATGACCAAAATTCAAAAAAGGGGGTTAAAACTTCCAAAAATTCTGAAGACAAGATTTCACTGTTGGAGACCCACTTTTTTGCTTCCTGCCCATTAAGTATTTGAGAGGTGCCTTCATTTTTTATTAACCCCTGACCCCAAATTTCAGTTGAGAGGTGTAATTATTTTCACGTGCGTTTCCCCCCAAATTAAATAATAGTATGACAAATGAAAAATAGATGTATTTCCTGTTAATGTAATTCTGCGGTGCACCTGTAACCTAGATACAGATGCAGATTTCACCAGGCTGCATCCCCGAAAACATCAGAAGTCATTTGACTTGGGGAAGGTTTCTGAATTGCCCTTTTTCACCTCGTTTCCTTGTGTTCCAGTTTGACTTTGTAGAGCTTCTGGATGGGAGGAGACTGCTAACTCAGGAGGCCCGGAGTCTGGAAGGCCCTCAGCGGCAACACAAGGGCTTTGTGCCACTAGCCAGCCACGAGACAGGATTTATTCAGTATTTGGATTCAGGGATGTGGCACCTCGCCTTTTACAACGACGGGAAGGAGTCTGAGGTGGTCTCGTTTCTCACCACTGCTGTTGGTAAGAACTTAATTTTTGGCAATGTATGCTTTTTAGTTGTTTTTCAGCCAGCGTTGGTACTGGGGCTGCCATCTTCCTGTCTTCCGCCACACCAAACAATATTTCTCGCAGGGATGCTATCCTGACCCAAACTTGCTCATATTTTCTCGGTCGCAGGAATGCTGCAGAACAGGCAACCTTTCTTGGGCCGGCGTGCGCATGTTTGTAATCTTGAGGCGTTGCCACAGGTGCCGAATGGGCTGCTGTGGGGCTCGTGGCGTAGCACAAAATGGCTGCCAGATTGGGCAGAGCCGTAAAAAGGCAAGACCACAAAATGGTCGTTCGCAGAGAGAAACTCTTTATGCATCTCCCGTGTTCAGAACGGAAGGGAGACGGGGAGCCAATCGAAGCACCCAGTGACATGGGGACACATTTACGGGAGCACACTGAGCACGGCAGAAGCTGAGCAAGTGTAGGCAGGAACGAAGTGAGGAGAGTTCCTTGTGCATTGTGGGTTATTAAAGGGAGAATTACTGAGGCCTTCCGTGAGCAACACCGGAAGTACCGGCTAGCACACCTGTCTCCTGTGGGCACCACTTAGGCAATGTCTTCCATTGACCCCTGAAGTGAAGGACATGAGGCAGGAGTTGGTAATGCAGGTGAGCTGTGCAGGAGCAAGCTGCCGGCTAGCTCTGTGGAGGCTCCTTTTATTGGCACAATATGCAAAACCAGTCAGATACATTTTGGGCTGTGACCTTTACACATCTTCCAATCCCGAGATCGTGGGGTGGTAAAAAGTTATTTTGGCACCTGTTTCCACCGCATCATTTTCCCCTTGCACAATGTATGACGAAGGAGACAGCCACATTTCCAAACTTGCTACTGCAGCTCAAGAAAAACAACAATAACTCAATTAGTAATTGTGTTGTGATTTGGTCCTGTCTAAAGGGCATTGTACATTTCCACATCTTTACAACATGCCTGCATGGTGGGGCAGCATTAATTTGCTCATACTGCTGGGTCAGGGTGAGGTTTAGGCAGAGCGAATTCAGGGCTGGTGAGAGATTTGATCCAGGAATTTCTTAACTCGTAGATCGCAGCCGCTACATCACGAAGCCTAGTCAAGTAGTCTAGCTTATTATTTGCTGTGCTGAAAGCTGAGAAGGACATTCTTTCAACAGTCAGTATTTGGTTTTGTTCTGGTTTTATTTTATTTTTTAAAAAGCTACTAAATATCAGGAGGCTCTCAATAAAAACCACACAGGGTGGCCATAATTAACAGCTATTTTATATTTCACGGAATCAGGCCAACCATGTTCCTTCGCCCCCTAATCCATCTTGTTGTAATTCACAGACCCTCCCATAAAAATTAACACTTAGCATTCTCCAAACCACAATGATTATTTAATGGTCCAATTTTTTTTTCCTGGACTGCGAAACGAGGGGTCGTTCCGAGCTTTCCATTAATCCTTCTCCCCAAAGAGGCCTTGGCTCTGAGTCTCAGCTGTCTGCAGTAGTTACCTGAGAGCTATTGGCTGTAATTTGTCTTGGCAGGTTAATTAAAAGTTTAGGTCTTATTAAAGCAAAGTCATTAAGGCTGCAATATACCTTTTTTCTTTTTTTTTTACTGTGAAAGTTTACTTAATCACAGTTTGAAATGCAATGGTAATATTCTGCTTTCGGGTGGGAACTTTGAACAGGTATTCACTGTCAGGAATGCGTTATGTTTTCTCATGCGCACGTATGCGTGTGCTCAAGCCTATTCATCGCTAAGTGGCGCGGAAAATAATTGCCCTTTAATTTACCATGTGGTAATCTGACCCTACGGAATGCAGTTTTTTATTCCATGATCCTCTCGCAGCTTACGATTGGAAATGAGATGCGCTTTTAACTCTCTGCTCAGCATCTTCGCCTCCAGAGGACCTTGCAAGGTTGCCCCTGAAGATTTTCTGTCTAGTCCCACATCCCCTGCCCGTGAAACTCCCACTCCAACTGCAAAAGTACCATATTTTTCGCTCTATAAGACGCACCAGACGATAAGATGCACCTAGTTTTTGGAGGAAGAAAACATGAAAAAAAAAATTCTGAATCCCAGGAGCCAGAACGGCAAGAGGGATCGCTGCGCAGTGAAAGCAGCAATCCTTCTTTCTGTTCTGGCTTCTGGGATAGCTGCGCAGCCTGCATTCGCTCCATAAGACGCACACACATTTCCCCTTACTTTTTAGGAGGGAAAAGGTGAGTCTTATAGAGCAAAAAATACGGTATATTCATGTCCGCATTACGATGCAGTCACAGAGCTGACCTCTCGATCAAGAAGGGCCGTAGCTCCGTGGTAGAACATCTGCTTCGCATGCATAAGGTCCTAGGTCTAGTCCCCAATAGCATCTCCAAGTAGGGCTGTGGGGTAACCTTGCCTGAAATCCTCCAGAGCAGCTGCCAGCCAGTGTTGGCATTACTGAGCTAGATGGACCCATGGGTCTGACTCAGTGTCCCTATCAGAGAATTGTGGGGGTTGCAGAGTTGGAAGGGACCCCGAGGGTCATCTAGTCCAACCCCCTGCAATGCAGGAATCTCAGCTAAAGCATCCATGGCAAGTGGCCATTCAAATTCTGCTGAAGAACCTCCAAGGAAGGGAAGTCCACCACCTCCCGAGGGAGACCGTTCCACTGCCAAACAGCTCTTGCCATTGGGAAGTACCGTATTTTTCGCTCTATAAGGCGCACCAGACCACAAGACACACCTAATTTTTGGTGGAGGAAAACAAGAAAAAAAAAATCTGAATCTCAGAAGCCAGAACAGCAAGAGGGATCGCTGCGCAGTGAAAGCAGCAATCCCTTTTGATGTTCTGGCTTCTGGGATAGCTGCGCAGCCTGTAATCGCTCAATAAGACGCGCACACATTTTCCCTTACTTTTTAGGAGGGAAAAAGTGAGTCTTATAGAGCAAAAAATACGGTAATTCCTGATGTTGAGTCGGAATCTCCTTTCCTGTAAGTTGAAGCCATTGGTTCGGGGAAGCAGGCGAAAACAAGTTTGCTCCATCTTCCATGTGACAACCCTTGAGATATTTGAAGATGGCCATCCTATCTCCTTTCCAGTCTCCTCTTTTCCACGCTAAACATACGCAGCTTCCCCACCCCACCCCCCACAAAGCTGTGGGCAGGAAACACCACCACCCCCAGATCATTCCCCGCTCGCTGCTGGTGGTGCAGCGCTCCCCCCCCCCAATGCCACTATCCATGTATTGGACGAACCCAGTTTTTTGACGTGATTTTTGAGTCAGAAACCCTTGTCCAATACATGGAAAAATACAGTAATTCCCATTACACAGCAGTAAGAAATAAATATCTTAGTGTGGCAGCACATACGCTTTGGAACTCCCCGCCTGTTGACACCAGGTAGGCACCTTTGCTCTACGCTACGATTCTGTACCCTTTCAGGAGCCTGCTTAAAACATTTTTGTTTAGACAAGCCTAGCCAGACATGTAGAAGTTTGTTTATGTTGTTTAGCCGTTTAGTCGTGTCCGACTCTTTGTGACCAGAGCACACCAGGCACTCCTGTCTTCCGCATGTAGAAGTTACACGCGTTCTAATCTGCAGCTTGGTTTTAATCAGTTTTTAAATACCTACTTATAACTGATTTTACAGTATTATATATATATATATATATTTATTAAGGTTTTTACAATATTACAAAATGAAAAAGAAAAAATACAAAATAAAAATAAAAATAGTTAAAAACAATTCAATATTTTCATCACTTATCTTTCATTTACTTGTTTCCCGGACCTCCTCATACCTCCCTTTTTTGTATTCCAGTTCAATTTATTAGTTCAGCAATTCCTTTCCCTCCTTATTTTATCCTGATCTTTAATCTTAAATTATTATAACATTTAATTTTTACCTATTTAAAAAACCATTTTTTCATATTCTTTTATACCATTACAGCTAGAAACCACTTAATTTCAATCCAACACCATTCTAACATTCATTAATTTTACAATATTTCTGTAAATAGTCTTTAAATTTGTTCCAGTCTTCTTCCACCAACTCTTCTCCCTGGTCTCGGATTCTGCCAGTCGATTTTACAGTATTTTTTTAAAATAAACTTACTTATTACTGTCAAGCAGTACTGTATACAAAGTCTGTTAAATCTATATGTAAAGGTAAGAGAACAAAACCACACTGAGAGCCCATTTGTGGGGCTAAAAGGCAGTCTGTTTATTTTCATATATTTTAGAAAGAACTATGGGAACACTTTAAAATCTTCTCAGCAGTCTTAGCCTCCTTTTCTGGTTTTTTGCAGTGCAGCAAGGAAGAGCGAAATAAGGTTTTGAGTGAGACACTCCATATACTAACCAGGGTGCGATGTTCCAGGTCACCAAGCAGATGGGAGGCTTGATCTGTGCAGGAAGAGGGAAATAGATTGATTTGGGCCAGGAGGGCAAGTTCGCGGGGTGAGAGGCAAGCTCCGAGATGCCTAATTTTAACCGCGATCTTGTGATTCATACAAGAGCTGTTGAACACGTTTCGTCTCTATGTGACTTTCAAAAATCAGAAGAAACACGGATGGGATATACACATTTGAGCCATGCCAGGATATGGACTGTAAGGAAAGAAGTATGGTGCTGGCATGTCTAAATCAGGAGCTGTGTCGAGACTTTGGGGTGTGTGCTTGTCAACACCCGCCTCTTTTAACGCTTCAATTTGTTTTGGCTTAGAAAGGCACGATGGCTGAGTCATTCGTGTTTAAAAAAAATATAAACATGTAGGCAGAGACTTGGGAAATCGCGGAGGCACAATTGTTTTCTCTGCCCAGGTGGTGGAAAGCTAACTTGCACAGAGAGGGGCTTGAAGATGGTTTATTACTGACTTTTTGGAGAAGGGGGAATAGCTTAGCTCTTTGCATGCAGAATGGCCCTGGCTCAATTTCCAGGGTTTTTTTCCCCCAAGGGAGAGGCGGAGGCGGAGGAAGCTGCTTGGGTGCCTGAAGTGGTGTGCCCAAGGGCGGGGTGAGCCGCCC